CTTCACTAGTAATTATACACAACACCTACTTCACTAGTAATTATACACAACACCTACTTCACTAGTAATTATACACAACAACACCTACTTCACTAGTAACTATACACAACAAAACCTACTTCACAAGTAATTATACACAATACCTACTTAATCAGTTTAGTGATGTATTAGTTCAATTTTTCATAAAATTTACCAAGAACAGTATAGTCTGAAACGTACTATGAATAAAAACTAATCCACAAAAGTTCTATTAATTAATAACTTTATTAATGAAGACAAGCAATAATACTAATAAATATGATTAGAAAAATTACTGAACAAATTTATCAGTAATATGGTTTGCATCTGTGTACATAAGTATGTTTATTTTTGATATTTTCCTAAGCACGTGATCCTGCTTTCTGAGACCGAACAAACATGTTCTATTAAATGTAAAGTGTAATGAAACAATTTTAGGACGGTAAGTGAACATTACAGTTTTCTAAGCAATCATTTTAAAATTTGTCAGTCTATTTGAGTTTATTTTAATTAGTCTTTAGAGTCATCAGTAACCTTAGTTTACCAAGGAAATTAATACTCGTTTTAAGTATTTTAACATAAGGCATTGTTTACTTCCTAATACTTATTTGTCAAAGAGTTGCCAGTAAAACTACTTGGTTAGAATTGATTTGTTTGTTTGTTTTGCATTCATGTAAAACTAGACTCATTATTATATCACATTAAACCTTTCCACATGGGTCAAAGGCCATGTCATCGCATGTCATGTGGTATGTTGAATGCAGCACTGGTTCAAATTAGATGTTTGTGATGACAAAGTGTACAGTTTCGTATGAATTAGGAGCTCAAATTACTGATATTAACAAGCTAGAATATAAAACAAGAACCTCCTATCTGTTCTATTTGCTAAAATATCTCTCATGTACTGAATGAAATGCAGTGGACCTGCTCTTCTTTTTCCATTTTTGGAAATGCTCCCATATATACACACATGTTAATAACCAATTGAAAGCTCAGAATGTCCACCCTAGTGACTTTATCAGCCATTTTGAAGTATTATGGTGTCACCTCGTTCTTTCGATACAAATCTTCAAGCTAGTAAGTTGAGTCTTTAGTCTGCTCGAAATTTCATATTTTTTTAGATCCAAATAAAGTTTAATTACTAAGCTTGATAAATTATAGTGGACTTCTTTGGTATCGATATAGTAATTTATGATTTTTTTAGTTATTCAAGTGTATATATAAAACCTAAAAAAAGTATTTCATTTCACGTCCTCCACGTGCAAATTTTTTTAAGGCTTAGCAACCTACGTCAAGCAGTAAATAAGTGCAAAGGTCGTAACTAGAAGAGATAATTGTTTGCTTTACTTCTTTATTTACTGTTCTATGTTTTAAGAAAA